TTTTCAGGCCCAAGCACAATAACTTCAGTTTTGTCAGAGTTTAGAAGTAAGAAGTTGCAGGTCATCCAGGCCTTTATGTCTTTAAGACATGCTTGAAGTTTGACCAGCTGATCTGATTCATTTGGCTTCATAGATAAATATAACTGCATAGCACCTGTGATTTTTGTGTTTCACCGTGTCTTGTATGGTTTTGTTTAGCGTTAGTTCTCTTATTAAAGAGACGGTTTTGTTTTACATTTCCTTGTCTGGCCTTTTAATTGAGTTCACCCTCAACATTTTTGGCAGCATAACGCGCCGATTCCTGACATGTGGTGTGTGCGTGTGTGTTTGTCTTTATATACTTGTGCGAACCAACCCCTGATGGAACACCTTTCTTGTGTGGACATTTCATTGGTGACTTTCACCAATGCGGTTTTTGTACTATGATGGACTCTAAATCCTGACTGAAAATCCTCAAACAAATCATTCTTGTGCAAGTGGTCACATAACTGCTTTGCAACAGCTTTTTCAAGGATTTTGGAAATAAATGGGAGATTGGATATTGGTCTATAATTAGCTAGGACACCTGGGTCAAGAGTAGGCTTTTTGAGTAGAGGTTTAATTACTGCAAGTTTAAAAGCCTGTGGAACATAACCTGTTAATAGAGAGAGGTTAATCAGATCTAGTATGGATGTGTTGATTAGGGGAAAGACGTCTTTGAGCATCCTGGTCGGGATGGGGTCCAGGAGACATGTTGATGATTTAGATGAAGCAATTGTTGAGGTTAACTCAGAGAGATCTATAGGGGAGAAGTACTCCAAGTATAAATGAGGTCTTACAAATGTTTCTAAAGCCATTGTAGTAGATGGCACATGAGCGAGAGCTGTGGGAGTGGTCCGACCAATTTTTTCCTCTAATAGTTGTGATTTTATTTGTAAAGAAGCTCATGAAGTCATTGCTGCTGAGATCTAAGGGAATGTTAAGCTCAACAGCACTGTGGCTGTTTGTCAGCCTGGCTACAGTGCTGACAAAGTTGCAGTTTCTTAAGTTGACTTAAGAAAATGCAATAAAATGTGTATTTGCTTCATCCTGGGTCTGTGCGACTCTTCTCAGTTCAGGTTTCTATCGACAAAATGACACTTTCACACTGCGCATTTGCTACTTGTAACATCTGAAAGCCACCACCTTTTGGACTAGCACAAAGAAATATTTAATTCAGTTTTCTCCAGTTTCCAGAAAATGGACCTTGTAAGTGTTACATTGGCCTGTCCTCCCACCTAGTGGTTGGTATAAGATGTACGTATACCTGGAACTAATGTTTCCTAACTCGACAATGAAACTTGCTGAAGCTGTTAAATTGGGTTTAAAAATATTGTCACAGCTCTTCCTGTTCAGCACACACAATTTCTAGTCTCATTTGTTTGCAGTCGGAAACAAACAATGACATCAGGCGGTTTATTTTCCAAACTTGACAAAGCTCCTCCAGTCACACAGACAAAATAAGTGGCCCTCTTTTCATGAGAAAACTTTGCCAGATTAAAGACAAAATTGGTGAAAGTTGGATTTTGATCTGAACGACTCCAGCACCCAATGAGTATTAAATAAGGTTCTAATGAACCAAAAGGTCGCCAGTGAAGTAGACAACGTCATGAAAGACTCACAACAGAGTCCGTCCTTCAGTTGTGTTACAAAAAGTTAATGAAGTCACACTTGGCAGCAAATTGTTTCAACCTTTATTAAACATAGCTTGCAAGAGATAAATATTACAAAGTTATTTCCTCCAAAATTAGCTTATTTTTTTCAATCAATGCATAATTGTCAATCAACTGGCAGTATTCAAACAGCATTATTTTCTTTTACTTTTTTGAAGACTGTTAAATATCAAGTATGTGCAAAAGGTCAGGATTGAGGTAAGCAAAACAAAAAGGACTTCAGATAGTCTCTGGTCGGTTTCATCTTCTGTTTCTGCTTCCTCAGGTGATTACTTCTACATTGTCAACATTATGCAAAAAGAAATGTTTCTACAGGGACACTGATAAACTGATTCCCCTGTATTAGCAACAACTAATAGAAGATCAAGTAGAGGACCACACATGTTGTATGCTGGTATTGGCAGGAAAGGTGATCACTGAATCAGGGTCAGCATTGGCCATTTAACAAAAAGGCATCCCAAAAGGTCAGCCCAGCGTTTCGCCGCTGTAAGAGCACAGACACATGGCGAATATTTAGTGCCAAACCTCTGCATCAGATGAAGTATTTTTATGGCAACAGTGTTACTCCACAGTTGGCTGCTTCTTGGCAAGAACGGGCCCGAGAAAGCACGGGCAGGCCACGTGTACCACGGTGAAGAACAAGTAGTCCTCCTGAAACAAGCTAGGATCACAGAGGTCTAAAGACCTTTACCAGACAGCTGTCTAGGACACTGGGATCTAATGGTCAGCTCACCAAAACACACAACACATTCTCACTAACAAACATGACCTAGTTTGGCTTTTATTTGTTTACGTTTTGAGATGTGTGCACTGCTCACAGTGCTGAAAGATGGCCGGCACAACAGCTCCGTCTCCTTCCACAATCGGTATCCCCGTTATCCTGAACTCTTCTCCTGAAGACATCATCCTCATGAGTACTGCCTCCAGTGCCTTATGTGGATTCTTCAACGCAACAGGACAGCGGAAACCACGAATTGTGGAAAGAGCCGTTACTCGACTTTTTAAAAGTCACTCTTCGTTGCTGTGAGCGGCATAAATGCTTCAGCATCCACTGTCCCATCCAGCTCATCCCAGTGGTTTACAGGGAGCCAATGGCTGCCTGACTGTGTGGACACACGACGTTAGCCGGTGCCAATGGATTAAAGCTGATTTATGGTGACCATGCTAAAATGCCAGTCTGGTCTTTCAGGTGAGAAGCCAGTATTGGTGTCAGACCCCAGGCCAAATCAGATCAGGAGGGTCCATCTAGCACACTGTGAAACATTCAAAGCGCTTTAATCTAGAGCAGGTTCAGGAAATGTTTCTGCAGGAAAGAAAGCAAACTCAGCTCTACCAGAGTTCTTCCGTTTTAGAAGCAATGCTCAGATGTGTAAGGCGACTGCCTGATGACCGGCTGAACCAGTGAGCACTTTCCTGCAAACTCAAACTAGTCCACACATTTATAACACAATAATACACAGTGATCACAAAACAAAATGACAAGCTTCACAATATTCATGGCTTTTTGTTTGCTTTTCTACACAATATACAACCATTTAATTTGTTTTTTCAGTACAAGGGAGGAAAAAATGCTTATGTACAATAAGTCATTATTACTTCAAACCTAGCAAATAGTGTCATTTATCTCAGTCAATACATGTTTATTTTTTTAAATTGGAATAGAAAGAAAACAGAACTCAATTGAGACATCAGAAATAGAATGACATCTGAAATCTAAAAATTTAAATTTGAAAGGAATCTGCAGTCCAAATACATGGATGTGTCTGCAGAAGAGCGAGAGAGACAGGAGCTTTTTTTAATCTTCACCTTCAGCATGGCAGCAAATGGAGATGCATGATGAAACATCGGAAAGGAACCAATATACCCCAGATGGTAAAAATTAATGAAAATACCTCAACATCAAATTTCAACTGTTCTAAAGGAAAAACAAATTTGTGTTTTCAATATAATCAAGTGTTTTCCAAGTGTAAACTTTAGTTTACATCTCTGAATTAAATCCTAGGTAGTTCAGTTCTGGCGTAAACCTTCCACTTCACTGGGCTGTTTATCATCAGACTACTGTGACACGGGGCTGGGCAGGCAGGAGCCCTTGGACATGACGTGCCCCCATCTGATAGTCCGGCTGGAAAAACCCCACCAACCAATTGCTGCTCAGGGACAATGGAGGTGTAACAGTGAAATGGAACTTGACGGGTTGCAGCACAAACCTCTCAACCGTGCGGAGCTCCATCAGAGACATCACAGCAGAACTGACTGGCAGTCATTAAACAGAGTCGGCTCAGGATCGGTTTCATAAAGTTCTAGTCAGAGTGAGCAGTCTGTCCAGTAGACAGTGCACCAGCGTGGTACTGTCCTGGGTTTATCCTAAATGACCCCGAGGAGCTCACAGGCTCTGCCTCACCAGCTCAGCCAGGCAGTGGGTTGTTTCCATAAAGGCGATCTTTCCTTCAGCTTTCAAAAACAAACTGTGCTGCTGCACTAGCAAGAAAAAACACAATGGCTCATGACCGAATAAAGGACACGTGATTAATATGACCCTGTTAAATCTGGAGTGTTTAGAGTTTACTAGCAATTTGAAGGGCACTTGACACTTTTCACACAGAGCAAAGACGGACGCCCTCACTGGGAAAGAAGTGGAACAGCGGTGAGCCTTGGCTAGCTGTCTTAGCCAACTAGCTGGTGGCCTAATTCAACAAAACAACCAAAATGGACACTAGTGCTGTTAGCCTCTACTACTGTGCACATCGGTTATGTTTAAATCAGGACAAGACCGGTGAGTTCCACACACTCACATGAATGTTTATTTCTTAGAAAGGGGTTTCGACTACCACTTCAGCTTCTCTGAAAGCCACTAGTTTTGCAGGACAAACACCAAAGTGGCGAACGTTACACTTTGAAACAAGTGTGTGCAATAAGGTGGGTGAAAAGTCAAAGGAAAAAGTCGGCCATTTTCTACATTTCCTGCCTCTACTCACCGTTAACGTCTGTCAGTTCTGGATTAGCTTATTCTTCTGTGCCACTGACCTCCACCGTTGCATCGGTGAAACCGTGTTGTGTGAGCAACGTTTCCTCATTATGAAACACCAAACCCCAAAATTTGTTAAGAACATCCAGAGATCTCGTGCATGGGCCCTTGACTCTTGCTTACTTCAACTTGTGTAAACTGTTATGGCTGCAGTCTATGGCACAGACAGATTATTTAACCCAGGACTGACGGACATCAGTGGTGAGCAGAGGAAAATCACTGCTGGTTTTAGTCTCTGACTGGACAGCAATTAAAATGCTGCTTGTATAGAAAATGGCCGACCTTGTCCTTAGAGTCCGGTGGCTGTGGCTGATTGTAATGTAACCAGACACACAGACAGCCAAGAGGCGGATATTATCTAAACATAAAATGTGCACAGAACAGAACAGATCAACATTTTGCTAGAGATAAATCAGCTGTTGCACGGTAACTGAAGGAATCCAATATGGCTGCCAGACAATGTGTTAAGCCACCTGCAAGCCTCAGCAGCAGTGCTGGTCTCATGTCAGTGATGAACCTGTGCGATGTTTCACCACAGTCTGATTGTCTGGAAAATGTCTGACATGGACTGGACTTTCAATCAGGTGCCATCGAGTCTTTGCATGGTGCGTTTACAAATAAAAGCTTGAGACTTCTTTGCATTTTGAGGCTTTCTCCTCCTCGTCAGACTGAAATGTGTTGGATGGCCCGCTCCGATCTGTGTCAGCTGCCTGTCTGAGCCCTCCTCTGCAGAGTCACCCTGTCCATGGATAATACTGCACGCTGACCAAACACTGCTTGAAACACCTGAGCTACTGTGAACTCCTGAGGAAACCAGTGATGAGTTACTCTCTCTCCTGCTTACGCGTGCGCGATGTCAGCGCAGCTGGAGATATCACAATGAAATCATCAATCATAAAAAACACAGAGCCCTCATTTGGTTTGATCATGTAAACCAGGAAATAACTAAAACGTTTGAGGATTTCAAAACAAAAACCCAAGAACATGTAAAATGAGGAAGAAATATTTAAGATTTTGCATCATTTCTAGGTCAGCAAACAAATTTAAGTAAGCCTGTGGTTTTCCATGTTGACTCCTTTGTGCTAAAGGCCAGAGCTCCCATGTATCCTGTCCACTGGACACATGACAGTCTGATCTACTCAGAGACTTGTCCTCCACCCTCCGACTTCTGACTACCAACTTGTCCGCCTTCAGACAACTGCTCGAACCCCACCTGTTTAGCACTGCCTCTGATGACAGATCTGATGTTCCCTCTGCTCCTCATTGTGCTGTTTTGAGTGTTTTATATTATTTTGTACTTTTCTTCTGTACTATACTGCTCTATAAATAAAGTATATTATTGATTTATAATTACTACTTGTTATAAATATGGCTGCGCCACAGGTTTCCAGCAGAACATTGCTTAGCAAGTAGCACTGTGGTAGTGGGAAACACAGCATCAGAGCTAAATCATGGCTAGACTGAAGGTTTCTTAAAGGGCAATGCGCAGCGCTCTAAGCCTTTGTGGATCTGTTGTATACCCAAAGAAGATCAATACATCAAGCTTTGTTCAATGAACAGTAGAGAATCTGCTAAGTAAAGAACACAAAACTCCAGTCAGCAAACATTCTGTGAGGTATGCCGCCTAATAGCGGGCTCAGAGCATGGTGGTGGGAAGTCAGGAGGTGTTGGACACCTGAATCGACTATCCCCGACTTCTGGTCTGCATGTCTGAAAAGAAGGATTCAGACTACAGCAGGATGATGATCCCAAACACAGCTCAACGCTTTGCAAGAACTACTTACTGCCACTTATTGCTGGTTTGTGGCACTACTGACTGAAGGCCTGTGCTTAATAAGCGTGGGCAGCGATAGCTCCGTTTGTGAGCTCAGCACTCTGATGCTCTATGATTCAGTCACACTGAAGAAATGCTGACACACTGTGCAAACAGGCAGATCAGGAAAATGTGTTAAGGTTTGCATTAACTGAATCATGGAGCCCAGTGCTGAGGCCACAAACAACAACAAATGCACCTAAATTGCCTTAACCGAGCAGGATTCACCTTGTCCACAGAGGAGGGAACCATTCACTGCCTGGCTGAAATCACTCATCATGGAAGGACCTTGTGTGAAGCGAATACTGAATTACTGAGTTACTGCTGGGTTTATCAGACAGAGGGGTCAGCTTCTTCTGATGCTGGCATCTGTACTCAGGCCAGCGGCAGCTTACGGCTGCCTGCGACCCAGTGCACTGGGCACCGGGGGGGTGGGGGGGATTGTGGAGACCCACATGTACACTCCAACATTTATCAACACTGGCAAAGTCATTTAGGATGAACCCATTCATGATCCATTAAAACACACCTCAGTGGCATGTCCTCTGACTCCAATCTGCCATCAGCCAGTATCCAGACCTTCGCCACTCATTTGTAACATTCTTTACCTCCTTGTTTTTCCAATTGGAAATATGCAAAGTGCTCCTCTGGAGTGAGGTGACTTGTGTGCAGAGTGCACACACAATGATTGATCCATGTCTCTCCCATAAAACATATAATCCACATCCTTTTTTTTCTCTGAAGCTAGGTATCTATACATACTCCATACAGATATTTCAATAGTTTTAGCTATGTTGATTATTATCGTCTCCAGGGGCTAATACCTCTCAGGTATGCCGCCATTTCATTAGGAGACGCCGCAAAAACAAACAAATAAACATAGCAAAATAAAGAAAGTTTTTTTTTTTTGAAGGGTGGGTGACAACCAGAAAACAATATAAAAACTAAGAGAAGAAGAAAACAACCCCAGATTTGTATGTTTCTAGGTACAGAACCTGTGGCTTGGACACAAAATGTGTTTACACCTACAGATTTGAGTTCATAACATGTGATGCCAGGAGGGGTTGCCGGGTGAAAAGGGTTCAGTCTGTGCATACTGGATAATCAGAGATGCTGAGGGGGGCCACGGAGGGGCCAGTGGTAGGAAGCGGGATGGGATGGAACCAGGAGTGGAGCCCGTCACCCCCGTGAATGCTGGGTGAGTGCGGAGACGACATCCTCCTGTCTATCAGCTCACTCCTCACTGCAGTCTGTATGAACAGCTGAACTGCTCAGTGGAGATGGTGCCGTGTCTGTCTGCTCTGACTGGTACAACTACACCAAGTCCCACGTACATCCACCTGGTTCACATCTGTAATGGGAGACTGACGTCTGAAATGAAGGAACCAATGACGAACTTTGGATGAGGGATGGTGGGCAGCGACTAGCTGATCACATAGGATTCTCTTATGTCAGTTGTTTCCACTTCGTTAGCTCTGACGCCGGCCTGAACTCCAAGCTGAGCTTTAGCTGTGTGTCGGTGCAAAAGCAGCTCTTGAAAAGGTCCCTCTGATGTGATGACAAGTGCGGTGCTTCGCTCTCGCCTGCATGCCCTTCCCCTGTTCACATCCTCCTCCTTTAGAACAGGCTCTCTATTCCCTTTTCAAGAGCAAGCAGAGCAATGACTAACTTAATATTGTCTGTTTTTGCTCCTATCAGCATTTTCCACTTTGTTACTTCAAGTTAGCGAGCTAACACTTCTTACAAAGCTTCAAAGTTGTTAAACTTTATGTTGCATAGCAACCACAATGCACCCTGTTGATCTTCTGTCACTAGCAAGTCACATCCAAGCTCGGTAACGGAGTGGAGGAAAAAAAATCCTATATGATCGTGGCCTGAATCGACCCTACAATGATCCACCGTCACTCCCCGTAGTAAAGGAGAGATGGCAAAGAAACAAAATGGACCAAACAATTAGAAAAGAAAAAAGCATAATGAGTAACTGAAGCAAAAACAGTAGCTGCAAGTATAATAATAGTGCTCTCAACAGCGATAATAATGGGAATTATAACGGTTAAACAATGCTGACAAAGAGTTTTACCATAATAAGAACATTTGAGATGCACTGACAGGTTAGTGTCTTTCTCCGACTCGGTGGTGGGGTTTCATGGGTAGGCACACGGACAGGCACTGCATGCTATGGGCGGGTGGGGATGTTGGTTGATTTGGGAGTGCTTCGGCATCAGGGGTAAGAAGGCAAGATGGGGTGGCATCAAAGGGGCAGTAGGGCCGGCCAGTGCTCATTTCTGTCCGGTGATGGACTGCGATATGGATCGAGGCGGGATCATGTCCAACAGGTACTCTCTCTGCCGGTCTGCTAAGCTGGAGCTCTTATGGGCTCCAACTGCCGCTGGGTTCAGATAGGCAATGTTTAACCCTGTGAGAACAAGACAGACACATCAAAAAGATACTGTAAAGTCTGACACCGGCTTACTTCAGCTTTAGGCTCCAGAGTATCCATCACATTTCAAACAGTGGTCGGGGCAACCGTTGAAAGAACATTTTTGAACCGGGCCACGAGCGCAGACAGGTTCGTCGTCCGAACACAGCTTACTTCTCATTATTTCATTGCGCATCTCCCTCCTTTCTGACCCACTCAACACTTCTTCAGTGTGACTCCACTGTCGTGATCACCTCACCTCTCCGCTGCTCTCAGTTTACTGCTTGACAGGAATACTCTCTAATCAGTTACCTTTCTGCTGTTGTCCTTTGTTCAGTATTAAAACACTTCCTGC